GACAACATGGGATACAGGGGACAAAGATATGACAACAAGGCAAGAAAGATTGATGCATTTAGATGTGGAGCTCAGCAGGCTGGGAAGAACTATACAGGTCACTGCTTGAAGAAGTCAAGGAGCATTGAAATTAGAGGACTGGTTGGAATTTTCTCTCTATAAAATCTGAGATTGTGCAAATTTCTATCTTAACGAATCTTTGACAGGAAATTCAGCATGTATTCATATGAATCCCCCTCTCAGCAGAGAGAAGGGCCCCATTTAAGATCAGTAACTTTACAGCAGCAGGAGAGATGCCATTTCTTCAATATCCTTCAGGGTTGAATAAATTCCCTTTGTGCCACCACAAAACTGACACCGAAGGTCAGAACTGAGTGACACTTGTCAGGCCTCTTGTGATTTTAGCACACATGCTACTGCTGACCTGAACAGAAAATCTGGGCTATAAACTTACATGAGGAAGTTTTGGGGCCTCCCTCCACAGTTCTTCAGAGCAGATACTGCATGCTGCCAAGTGCCCCAGCCGCTGCAGCAGGGAGGAGTACTGAGTTACAAGCATGTTAAACTCATGGTCTGGAGTCCTTAGGCTGGACAGCAATTAAAAAAAAAAAAAAGATAACTGTGATAACACAAAAATCCAGAAAACAGAAAAATCTGAGACCACACAGGTTTGTTCTCTACTTACGTGTTAACAGACCCTGAAGCAAAGACCAGCTTAGGTCCAACTCGCCTTGTTCAGTCAGATTTTAAACAGGGTAGAAATGTTTTCATCAACAAATGAAAACAGACTGTAAATCTTTTGAAAAGGCTGGTGTGCAAACTCCATGAGGTGCTGTTCAGCCACCCCTCAGCAGTCTAGCCAGAGTTGTTTAAACACTACTTTGAGCAGGCTGGGCCAATACAAATATTATAAACTGTGATTAGGAACCAAAGACCTGGGCTGAGTACAACAAATGAAAAGCAAAAACTGATCTGCTCAGTATTTTATCACCCCTGACATTTAGAAAATTTGCTTAAATTTCTCAGCAGGCAGTTTGTAATACAACATAGAGCTACAGAAAAACAAACCATCAAAATATTCCTGTAAGGTCAAGATCCAGACTGGCTCTTTCCAACCCTGTCTTTATTCAACTTTCCTTCTTGGGAACAGCACTAGCAGATGTCTTTCTCTGCATGGCATGGAGCTTGCAGGTCATGACTTGGCTTCCACAACTGCTCTTGCTTTACTAAGTTTCACGCTCCCACTCTTGTTCTCATCTTCATCCAGCAAGGAACAGGACAACAGCTTTTACAAGTTTGAGGAAGAGGCTGAAGAGAATTTGAAGACTGAAGTCTGGTGCTCCTGCTGATGGACCTTCCTGCTTTCTGACCACCCCCGTGCATTATTGTCTGAAAAAGGGATCCATTCAGCAGCTCTCCCAGCCTTATTTGCTTGCTAAATTGGTTTCATGATTATGACGTGAGGAGGAAATGGTTCAACGCAGACATGAACTCATTTGGATTGGTGCCCTCAGGCAAACACAACTAAAATGGAAATCTTATGCATAGGAGGTGTCATAAACCGGAAGGGAAAGGAGGACAGATTTCAGGGAGGGAACTGCTTATACCGTAAGCTCCATCATCACAAGCAGCATCATCAGATAAGAGCTCATTACCACATCACAAAGCCCCAGATTAATCATTACCTGCATGTGGATCCTTGTTGAATCATGTATCTAATACAGAAGTTTTACTGAATTCTAGTCTGCACCGTTCTGGCATTCTCCAGCCAAAACTCTTGTCAAGTTTGGCTTTCAGTGCTTCCAACACTAAAGAGCAGAAAGGATTGTCAGGAATTCTGTTATCACCAGTTCTGTCAAGTGCTACATTTCACTCAAGCCTACATATAACAAAATCAAACTGGGTAGGGGCAGAAGGGAGCCAAGTGAAAATCCAAATAATCAACCAGCAGAAAATTTTTTATTTAGAAAAAAAAAAGGGGTTCCATCCTCTAAAAGATAAACATTATAATTTGTGCATTAATTATAGCTCATTTACCTTCCTTATCCAAAGGCTTGTATTTTCTCCTCCCAACTGGATTTAGAAGCAAAAGCCTGAGCCTTTATACAAACAAGTTAATGGATTCTAATGGCTTACCCTGATGCAGTGTCATTTAATCACAGAAGCACTTCATTTTCCCTGCTGCATTCAGGGTAGGAAAAAAACCAAACAACAAATCCCTGCATCCACATTCAACCATCTCATCTAAACACCTCTGATTTCAGTTTTCAAATTCCATTATTCTCACTGCAGCCAAATTTTCTCATGCTTTCAAATCTTAGTAGACGCTTTCCCCTCCTTTAAATTTAAGAGGAAAAAAAATAATCCATCTTTAGCTCCCTGTATTTCCCAGACAACTTTTCACTCAGTAATTCCAAAAGTCATTCATATATTTATTTCACAGTAGTTACCAGTTTTGCTCATTGTTTCCTCAACTCTAAATTTACTTCATAGGAAATCACTTCATTTTTTTTTTTTTCAAAAAATCCTGATTTAATTAGATTACTTTCACTTTTCATTACCTAGTACTCAAGTAATGCTCCAAAAACCAGGAACAGGCAACCAAAAACAACCCCACCAAACCAACCCAGGTACAACAACCTAATACTGTATCTACTTTTTAAAGACTTCTCATCTTCCCGTCCCGACTGTCCCCACATCCTGTTCCCACCACATGTTGTTTCTTTTGGTTGCATTCCATTTCCTTCTCTCTGTTCTTATTTATTTCACTTACTCTTTACTCTACACACTCACAATTCTTTGTCAAGACAATTATTTCTCCACGGGAGGGGACCGGGGCCCCAATCAGTCCACACAGTCACCGGTGCTGCTCCACACCCAGAGTAAACAAGATTGGCCTGTCCCATTTCTTCTCCAGCACCTTTTACCTGTTCAGTCCACTGGGGCACCTGCTCAGTCTTTTCCTCTCCCCTCTTTCTCTCTTCTAGTCACTGCAGAAGGTGGGTAGATGCTTTCTCACAGCACTTCTCCTTGGCAAGCACCACCCTCAGCCTTGTTTTTCCTTATTCTCAGTTGCGTCCCACAAGAGGCCTGCTTCTAATATCATGGTGACAGGACGGGTATAAAAGTCAATAATTAGTGCTGGCACTCCACCAATCCCACCCATTTCACTAAGGTTAATATCAGACATACACTCCACCCCATCTTACTCATAAGATTTAACTCTTAGGCTCTTTCCTGTACCTTTGTTTTTGCAACCCGCTCTTAAACGTTTGTGTTTGATCCTTCCCTGGAACTAGTTAGTGCTCAGCAGCCGCTCATTTGTCTCTCTCCTCCACATCTCTGCTCACACACAGCACCCTCCTTTTCCTCTCTCTAGTCCATGAAGATTCTTAACATCACATCTCTACTCACATTCCCCGTAACTTCTTTTCCTTCCCTTGGTCCAAACTCTTGAGAAAAATCCTGCTAAAATTTAAAAGAGGGTGCTGAGCATGGCTAGGAAGAACAGAGTAGGAAGTAACACATGTACATTAAAACCTGCAGCTCTTTCAGAACAGTGTAATATCTCAGGAAGAATGACAAGGCACAGGGGCTAAACCTCATGGTACAATACCAGAGCAGTTTGTCTTTAATTAATCCATCCTGGCATTGACAGCAAACAGCTACAAGAACAGAAAGGTGGAAGATCAGAAGACCTTGACTCTCCCCAAAGGAAAAAAAGCACCACATCTGTTCTGCAAGGTAAAAGAAGGAAAAAGCGAGCAGGTGAAGAAGCCAAAAGAGTTGTAGCTGCCAAATTATTTCAAACAAAACCTAAAGTGCCAGCCATTCAATCCATTCCTTCACTCCTTTCAATTGTGTAAGCGGCGTTATTGTACAGGCAATGATTTGTGTACCTATTTTCCCTAGGGCACTTACTGTTCCCTTGCTTTTGCCAGAGCTGTTCACCTATTACAACATCTAACAAATCCACACGCAATTGCAACATTTTCTTGATAGTCTATTACAGAAGTGTTAAGAGAAAGTCACCAAAGAAAAAGCCTTTTGCTTCTGAACTTGAGAAACACATTGTTACTGAACGCCACACAGCAGAGCACGACTGCTCTGTGAGTCAACGTTAGGTCTGTCTCCAATGAAGCACCACAAAAAAATATTTAAATCACATTTTATTTTTCAAATTCAAAAATAACCATTAGCTTTATTTAACATGTTACACATCGCACATTTAAAATATCATGCTCTATTTAAATATCTGAGTGACAACACTATACAAATAAAACGTTACACAAAATATATTTAAGAAAATGTTTTGGTCTTCAATCTGAACAATAAATAGACAGGCACTTCTACATATACAAAGGAAGCAACCACTATTTAGAATAAATCTTATAAGCAAGATGTGGAAATACAGAAGAAAACCTTGAGTTTTGAGAACATGTTTTAACTCTACATGAGACATCATGCAACTTCAACGTCTGCTTCAAAAACTCAAAACTTTGAGGATCTGCACAACTCCAGATTTGCTACCGCTCTATAGGAGATCCAAACCATGCTCTCATAGCAATGTGCAATTTCAGTTACTTGCATCAAATCAAGCTACCTGATCACATTTAGTGCCAGAACAGAAAACGAGGACTGACCAGAGTAGCTTTTCACATAAATAACATGAAAAAAAAGTCAGCTTTACCTCATGTAAGCTTGGGGCAGGGGGGGCAGCCCTAACTGTACCTACTGCCCAGCCCCAAACAAAATCTCTTCTACCTTTTCCTTATCTTTTCAGTCCTTTTATGGGGAGTTTCAAACAGTATTATGCTTTTTTTATTAAAAAAAAAAAAAAAAAAAGCATTATCTAGTAAAAGGGTAAATCCTTCAGACACAGGCACGCTTTGCACAAAAGATCATAAGTAAAGGAGAAAATACTGTCCCGGGGTGCAAAAAGACTGAAAACTCTAAATAAAAAAAAAAAATCAATAGTTAAAGTCTTGTAAGAGTGTTTCATACTTAAAGCAAAACTACATTCCTCCAATTTGTGAATTTTCAATTTACAGTGGTTTCCACACACAAACACTACTCGAGGAAAAATTATCTTCCACCATCACAATTAATGAAAGATACATTGTAGTAGTCAATCCCTGTTTCCAATGCAGGTAACTAGTCACTGACAGCTAGTTACATCCTTGAAGTCCTTTTTAAAATTAATTTAAGACAAATATTGAAACATAATGACCACCAGGACAGTGGAAAAAGTCAGGACCAAGTCTTCAAGCCATCCCCTCAAATTTTAATATTATTCTCATTTTCAAAAGTACAGGAGAAAGTTTCCAGAGAAAACTAAACTATTAAACAGAGCTTCAATGGTCCAGCAAGAAAGTCAGACCCAAACTTGGAAAGTTATTTGGACTTAAGACACTTATGCACATTACTTCAACAACTTAAGTGTGGATCTTGCAAGCGTGTCCAAATCTTTATCATTTCTTGAGGTTTTCTACTATGTACTAACATTAAGTTTGTGTAGGAACATATGTTATTTCTGTATTTCTCTTCGATGTCAAATGTTCTGAAGCCTTTGTGTTTTTCCGGAGCAAGCCCAAGTTTCTGAAGGCACATTCCAGTATAAACATCATCAATAGGATAAAGAAGTACCTGGTCAGATGCATTATTCAGTCTTAACGCCAGATCACCAGAGTACAGAAACCCACCGCCTCCTGCATACGGGGGATATGAACCTTCATAAACACTTTCTGGGATGTAGTACTTCAATTTTTTTTCTCTATGAGGTCCAGCATCTTTGATCACATCACCTATAAATAAGTCTTTGGCTTTCTCCTTTGATAAGCTCTTCAAGTAATCCAGGATCTGATGGGTATTCACAAAAACGTCATCATCACCCTTAAAAATAAACTGGACATCTGCGCAACTGGTGCTGACCCACTTCAGAAACAGCACCTCTTTCAGAGTTAAATTGAAGAAAGTGTCTCTGTAGTTCCAGAGGAGAATGTCTTGGTGGGTTTCACTCTCAAATTTTATCATGCCTGAAAGATCAGGAAAATTATCCTCTGGTGGGGTCTGTCCAAGTAAGAAGACCCTTTTGACTGTCACATCCCCCGATGTTATTTCTTTGCCCCAGGATTCCCTAATTGCTTGCCTTCTATCAAAATGGGGTGTAAGTGACTTAATAGCCAGCAGCAGAAAAGGTTTATGTTTGCACTTGTTTGGTTGATCCATTAATAAGGAATAATTTCTACATCTCAAATAAAGTAGGAAGTCTTTGAATCTGTCTGGCAAGTTTGCAAAGTCACTAACCTCTGAATGTACCCATGGGTCAGGGTCACAGGAACTGAGAACACTCGAGTTAGAAAGTAAATTCTCTTCCACAGTCATATTGGAAAGCAAGGTCAGGATAGGGTTGTACAGCAGTTCAAGCTTCTGCTGCTGCTTGTTCCAATAAGCTTTGTGAGGAGTATATTTTCTCCAGAACTTGCTGCGTGGTATAATAACACGGCCTTTTGCATTCTTCTCTTGGTTGCCACTTTTTGAGACTTCCACAATCACATAAATAAAAATGTTGACCATCATCAGAATTCCCAGCAGCTTTAATCTTCTGCGTCCAACACTCATTTCTCATATCTGGTGGGGGGGAAACAAAACAAAACAAAAAAGACAGATTTTTAGCTGTCTTCCTACCAAGTTCTTGATCTCATAAAAATCCAAACTACTTCTTGTCAAAGAATGTGCAAGTTAGTAGCCTAAAAACAGAGGTTACCTACACCCAAAAACCCCCCCAAACCTAATCTACCTCCAGTACATGCACACCTACCGCTAGATGGGGTTTGGGGTTTCATCAGCCATCAAGAAGCTGCTAAGAATGGAAAATTTCCATTTGCTACTTAGGAATTTTACACAGCATGTCTAAATTAGCCAGCAGTTTTTGCTCATCATTTAAGTCTCCTTGAAAAACTTGACTGTATAATAAATTAGAATCTGAGCCCTCAGCTTGGCAAAGGCAGGCAGAGAAACTGGTTTTGGCTTTTTTTTTTTTTTTGGCTAGTAAGGTGAGCTAAAGGGTATAGAATAAATTGCTATATGATAAGGTCAGTTATTTTTAAATTAAAGTTCAAGCTTTTATACTTGCACTCTTATACCTTCCAACTACACAACAGGCAGAGCTGAGTTTTAAAGCATACAATTTGTTTCTGTCCATTTGGCTTGGTTGTTCCTTGGGAAAGGGGCTGACAAAACTGGCCAGCTGCATTGCTGGGATTCAGATCTCTGCAGACAGAAGAGAACATGATTCTTTTTTTTCCCCCTCCAACTGAAAAAGGAAATAAATGGCAGCAGAAAGTGAAGTGTAATTATTTCTAGGAAGGAAAAAGAAGCTGAAGAGAAATCAAAAAAGCAGACATTTCCCATATATGTAAGACTAGGAATAGTAAGTGTACCTCTCTTTGTTGTAGCAAAGGTTATTCTGCGACCTATCTCCAGTTTTTACTGACAGAGAAAATGGATCAATCCCTCTTTCTTCCCCAACTGTCAGAATGAAAGGTGCACAGTACAAGGAGCAACATGAAAACAGCGTGTTCCTCTGAAGTAGTGCTTATCATACTCTTTACTAGCCATTGGTGACATCAATGTACAAAAACCCCACAGAATTTAACAAACCATTCTAAATCTACAAGTCAGACTAGGAAATAATTCAGAATAAATTAGAAAGTAAGACTACATATAAGTCAGATACAGAACTCATCAAAGATGCTTTCGTTTGTCAGGAATATAAATGATTATTGGAAGACCAGAAAAACCTCATGAAATAAGAGATTTGTAACCACTGCTAAAAGCCCAGCTGTAAACATTGCCTCAGAGGTCCTGAAATCAAACAGCAACAGCAGTCAGGAAGGTACACTGGAGAAGGACACCTTGTACTTGCTCTTTTCATTCCCAGCCATCACCACACACCTGAGCTAGACTGACCCCATTGGTCTCTTCTGGTTTGACCAGTCTTACTTTCTTTTACTTCTCAGCAAGCTGAAACCAAAATTTAGTAAGAAAGCAGCAGGTAAATAATCAGTAATCTTCTTTCCCCCCCCTCACTTTACCCCTAGATACTAATTAAATCCAAAGGGATGGGCAGAGTGGTTTTGAATTGAAATAAAAAACCTCCTAGAAACAATGGATTACTCAGAAAAATCCCTACTCTTCCTCCCTTTGACCAGGTGCATATTTATCTTTGTATACATTTAAGCCACATCTACTTTATTTAATGTCCTGTTCTCAGCCAGCTATGAAGTTTGCTGTTCTAATTTTAAAGTAGTTTTCTTCTATACCTCCAAGACAAAAACATACTCTTGGTCAGTGCCATCATTTCAGTTACACAGTTGAACTGTAAGAAAGCACTGGCTGGCCACATGAAGTTCAAAGAAACTTTATCTTCCTCTTTCAACTGCCACAGCAGCTTCCACTAAAAACAGATCCTTATGTACCATTTTTCCTCCATTTCCCTTTCAGTACATACAAAAATCCTGGAGAAGCAGCTGTCCTGTGCTTTGTACTATTCCATGGAGTTCAGCAAGCACAACACTGCTTACCTACCCTGTCCTCTAACAGTACTTCACTTCAAATGATGTGGTGTGACCTGTGATGCCAGGACTCCCGAGACAAGGGGGTAAGAAGCTCCCCTAACAAACACAAGACCATCAAGAGCTCAGCCCCAGACTGATTTTCCAGGATATTTAACTCATCTGTTAAATATCTATTTAATGTTATCATCTATGTTAAATTATCAGCATCATTCCAGGATATTTAACTCATCTGTTCACAGCCCCTCAGCTACTAAGCTATGAGCACTCAACGCCTCTGTAAGTCACCTGGCTGCTTGACCTGAGACTGTTCTGAACATGATGAGACACTATTTGCAAAGACTATTTAAATCACTTAACAAAATCCTTCAAATCACTAAGTCTTTAGGGTAAGTAACTATGAGATCTTCCTTAATCTTCCTGGTTTTCACCTGCAATCCCCCTGCAACAAATGAGACAGGGATCCTACACAGAAAAATCTCTGTTTACTGTTAGACTTGGTGGAACTTTTAATCAGAAAAAGTACCAGTCTGTAAGATGATGGTGGTTCCATCACATAAAGCACAGTAAATACTATCAGTCTCCCACATGTAAATACTTCCAGTATCATTTTCAGTGCCTTTTTAAAAACACTATCTAATATTGGTGATAAGATTAATACTTCTGATAACAGGTAACAAGTGACATTCAACAGCAATACAAATAAGATTTTTCTAAGACATAACACCCCCCCAATTCTGCATGAAAGCATTCTTCTCTTCTGTAATCAAAAGTTGTTTATCATGTGTTTACCAATTCATTAAGAACACAACTCTTTAAGAATATCAAACCAATATTAAGGGCTACCAAGTGAAAAAAGGGATAAAAACTGCTTTGTTAAAAAAGTGTCCATTTTCTAAACTAGCGTTCAGAGTGCGGTTCCAATACTAAAAGCAAATAGAAAACAATCAGACTTCAGAAAGGCTATTTCTACCAACAAAACAGAACCCTCAATTTCGCAATTACTACGTATTAGCTTTAATCATTACACCTGAAGACAGGAACTGATAAAAGGATGCCACAGTTCAGCAATTTCATATCAAGCAAACTGGATTTATCAGAAAACACAGCATTACAATCCTCATCCCAATGGTGTGTGTGTGGGGGTGTTGCATTTGCAACGCTGTTGCTAGTGGGGATTTGGGGTTTTTTTTTTGCTTTGTTTTGGGGTTTGTTTTGTTTTTAAAGTGAACATCCACAGCCCACGTTTCAAGGCAAATGTCATTTATTTCTTCATCTGCTTTGCTGACGCTGCAGTGACTGACCAAAGTGCCAGCACAATGGAGATGTGTGCTGTGCAGCTTGCTGAGGAGCAGCATCATAGAGCAGAAGACAGCACCCATTTCCTACTTACAACTGATCTGGACAGATCATGAGAAGTTTATTCTATTCCAGCTTCTATAATGCTTCTTCTATCAGCATTACTATAACAAAAATTCCCAGCTGCCTCCTTGGACTGCTGAGAATAGAAGATCTGTTAGGGGAAGCCAAAAAACAAGCTAAAAGTGATCTGGTTCATACTACAATTTATCTGATGCATTTTTGTATGAGTTTCGTTGAAGAATCAAGATGAACAGTACAAAACAATACTCTGTTTAAAAATTCTGCTGCTGCTTTAGGTGTTAAAAAAGAAAAGGCTAGAACAGAACCAGAAAATCCTGCAGAAAATCATTCCAACTTCAGCAGGTAAAGTGAAGAGTTACCTACACTCAAAGGTGGTCTGAAACACAGGTTTTCCAATGCCTGTTTTCAACTTCTCAGCTACACTGATATGAAGACTGTTTTAGGAATCAGTGCAAGTTTGTACAAATCATCACATTTCTGCTTAAGCAACTTCCAGCTGTGCAGTTACACATCAGTATCACTGCATACATACAGCTCATTTCTTCAAAGCCTTTGGAAAACATCCATGTGGGGTTGTTTCAAAAAAAGGGGCTAATGTTAACCTTACTGTGGATAAACCAAGGTTCTGTTATAGACACAATATTTGGAAAGATTGATTCTGCAGAAATGGGGGGGAAAGAGGGAGGAGTTGCCTTCTTCAGCTCCACTCCACTCTTACACTTCACTGCAGTCAAAACTAAGGTGTTGATAGAAGGGAACAGAGTCATGGAGCCACAAAAGCAGCACTGGGATCAAGAGATGGATGGAAAAGGCAAGTCAGCAGAACCTGCAAAGAAAAAGAGCTTCACCCTGGGACTAGGCAACAATCAATAAAACAAGATGAACCACAATAGAAGAAGAAAACAGGTATTACCAAGAAGCCATGAGCTACAAGAAAAGATTCCAAGTGCCTCAAAAGCCTTAAGTGCCAATAATGTTAATGCAAAGTGGTGAGAAACTGCTCACAGGCTGTTTAAAACAGTATTATTTTATGCTTTGTCGATAGAGTGAATGTATTCCAAAAGCCTGTAAGGAATCTATTCCGAAGCCTACAAGAGTTGGTACATAATGAGAATCAGAATCACTCTCCTGAGCTGGATCACTGAGTCCAACTCTTGACTCCATACAGAGAAACCTAAAAGTTAAACCATATACCCAAGAGCACTGTCCAAAAGCTTCTTGAATACCAAGTATGCACACTCCATCCAGTTCCAGGAATTAATTATACAAAAGACAACTCTTTTCCGGAGGCAAGAATTTACACAGAGGCCATGATGCCCCCTGAGAAAAAACATCTGGAGGAGGCCAAGTTCAAGGTCAAAACCAAGAACATCTGATTGTACCAGTCCCTAACTAAGGGCACATGCAATGCAGCAGTTTGAACTTCTCACACTGGAGTTAAGATCCTGCAGAAGAATTCTGATTAGCCCTGTTACAGCACTTGATTTTCTGTAATGACTTCACAAAATTAGTATGTGAAACACGCGAGGACAGTTTTAACTTAGTGGTTTGCTTTTTTTTTTTTTTAAAACTGATGCTCCTAAGACATTGCTATGCAAAAAAAACATTGCTATGTACAAAAACATCAGCTGGCTTCAATCTTAAAGGTCTTTTCCAACCAAA